TTACGTGTCCCATGAAGCCAGACGACTTTTCGAACCTTTGTATTTCAGCTGTAGAATTATTTAAGTTTTTTGTTGGTGCCGAGACGAACGTACTTTGCGCCTGTGCAGTCTATAAAGAAACAAAACACGTGCGTCCTGTCAGAATATCGATTTGATATTTTGCTATAATCAAGGGATGTGCCACGGTGGTCTAGAGGCTAGAACGCTGGCCTTGTAATCCTGGGGTCTCGGGTTCGAATTTATAACTTGTGTTGGGCAAGGCCGTGGTCTAGGCAACACGGAGTTTTCCTCCGTGGCATCCCAACAATTACTCCATTCACACACAGAAGAAGGCAATGGCAAACCACTTCTGGATCATCTGCCAAGAACGTATATGAACAGGTCCCAGTCCGAGAAAAGGATGGAAGGATCCTGTTCATATGGACCTGTCCTCAGACAGAACACAACACTAAAGAAATAAATAATAATCAAGGGGCGTGGCGCTCCGGGGGACATGAGAAATGCATACGAGATTTTGGCCTGGAGGGAAGGAGTCGCGAGCGTAAATCCGAAGAGGAATTGGGGCTGAATTCGGTTGTCTGAGCACGGGGTCCATTGGCCGTTAACCTTCGGGCTCTTTGCCGGTTGAGTGACGCCGATTGTATCTGTGGGATTTGAAACACGGCCTTTTCTTTTTCCTCGCCACTAATTCAGTTGTTTATCGGAAACTGGTTGTCGGTAGAAAAGCGTAGATTCAGAGGACCTTGACTTTCTATTTCCTGTTATTCTGTGCGAGGTCCATGAACTGGGCACTTCTGCTCTACTTTTCGGTGGTGAAATATTTTGAGTGCTGCTTTGGACTTTGTGGTATTTGATGATGATAGACCCAAACCTTTTATGGTTTCATGTTTTATAGCGTCACAAATTATTTCACATAAGAAGGAAAAGGCGTGAAAGTATTTTTTTCGTTGTCATTATTAAATATGGCGATTTTTAAAGTTACTCAGAACAAATTACTCTGGGCGAGATACCTCGTTCGTAGCATGAAAAGGGTTAAAGTGCATGATAATTACAAACGGTAAATGCAGAAAATTTAAATCATTAACGGACACAAACGCCTGGGCATTAGCAAAGTTCGACAATTAAGTAAAAATAAAAAAAACTTTGTTGTAGAACCAGGTTTGCTCTTTTTGGAGACACGAGGCCTTTGCTTGCCTTCACCTTCGAGGTCGTCACGTGAAGCGCATCCAATTTTGCAGCAGTCGGAAGTGACCGACCGAACTATTTTGAGCTCCTGCTCGGAGCTTGACGTAGGAAGTCCATTTCTGTCTGCCGCAGAGTTCGTGATGTGCACTATTTTTGAAGCTGGTCATTGTGCCCGACTGATTGTGAATTACATTCCGGGGATTTTTTTTTGTGTGTGGCTTGTCCCGTCACTCCAAATAATCGACGATAATTGCACAAAACATCAGTATCTGAACGGTTGAGCCAGCGGTGTGAAGATGGTGGGTGTGGTCGCTAAATTAAGTCCGGAACACCCCCCCCCCCGGGGGGGTTCATGTTCTGACATGCTAAAACGAAGTATAGGAACTCAAAATGGATTAATACAAATCGAGTAAATTCCATTTGTTGGAGTAACACGTGGGCACTTACTCTGCTGCGTGGAATGAATTTCACTGTCGTATCGGACGGATTTCGTCATTTAAGGATTTTAATATTGTCTTAAGTTAAGATTTGCTTTGTAGTTGGAAGGAGGGAGGGCAGTGTACGTCTGCAAACGAAAATCCATTCTTAAGGCTTTGACCGGGATGTTCTTTTGTTAAATCTTATGTGGTACCGCCTGATTCGACTTCTAATGGTTAAGTGAAGTGTTTTCTTCGCGGTACGGACTGAATTCTTAAATAATATTCAGACGATCTTCGTCTTCAAAGGGTTAAATTGCCGTGCAGTCCGCCATCCTGAGCTCCAATTCCCCTTGGCTTCTGGTTAAAGGTCGTTTGAAATTAAAACCCATTGAAATGGCTGTAACGAGAGTTCAAACCCCCGCGAACATCAGGAAGACGCCGTTGAATGTTCTTCCAAGGAAAGGAGATTTCGTGTTAGGGGGCGTTGTTTCTAGGTCGTTCTTCCGCTGTCAGTGATGGAGTACAGTCCTCGTGATATCGACTTGCACGTCGTATGACAAAAGAGAAAGTAGTCGATATAATTGCCAGCGGATAGGCTATCTCTCGGCTTGCAGGGGCGTGGCGTGCTCAGTGTTTTATGTGAAATGCGTATGTTGAACGGTGGGGGAAAAACTCTTCATCACGCAGTGTGCACGTTCCCTGAAGAAGCAGCTTAGTCTGACGGTAATGAATGTCTTTGCTGCTTAACTTAGTGGGAGCATCCGATATCTGACATACGAACAGCAAATGATTTTGTAGGTTTTGAAGTTTTTAGGGCGGAGAGTCTGAAGGTCTTCTGGGTTGTAGTGCCGTGCCGACGTTTCAGAGGTATTTGCTGAGAATGTTTACGAACTGCTTCGTGTTCGGGAGAACCTGGCTTTGCATCAGGCACTCCAGCTTCCAACTGAAGACTCCTATTTGTATAATGCGTATTTAATGACAGTGTCGGGAGCTCCGACGCGACGGACGGTAGGGTCGCTAATGAATGGTGAAGAAACACTTGTGGACTATTCCGACATTCTCCGGTGAGGGGTGAGGAAGACCACGAAGGATCTCAGTGGGAATAGCCGGTCTTCGGGTCGAGAATCGAACCCCGGATTTCCCATGCACGAAGCAGAAGGATAAGCCGCTTGGTTTGGTGGTCCGCGGTCCACGTTCTGTTAGAGAATCCGCGCCAGGCGGTCGGCTCAGCTGGTGGCGTGCGGTTCGATCCAAGACGGAAATATCACTTCGCTACCTCGCCACGGCACGATTTTCGTTTCGACTGTTGTTAGCGGCTGCGTTCACGTGCGAAACTTGACGCACGATTTAATTTAAAATAATTTTGAAGGGAATTAGAATATCGAGTCGGTCGGCTTTTGACACAGTCACTTGTTTACTTTTCCGAAATGTTTTGCGATAAGATACGTAATCTTAAACCGCTGGCATGCAGGCCTTTGACAGATATCGTCTTGTTTGCTGCGACTTAACGACTTACCTGAGAATTAAAGGAGCGAAAAGTGCGGACAGTCCTCTGGGCTCAACACATCCTTCGCAGATGCGTCGTCCGGCTGTGTTTCTCGTTCATCGTCGTCATCACCTGGTAGTGAGAGGGTGTTTGTTGGCCTTATTCGTCATGTCTGTGGTTGTCAGAGAGGGGACACCCCCCTTACGCCATGGAACCCGAAGGTTCATCACCGAATTAACCAAAACCCTCCACCGGTCCCTGTCCTGGGCCATCATCCGCGCGAGAGTTAAGAAAGTCCCTGTGACGTAGGCAGCCCGGTAGACAAGTGATGTGTGAACGCCGAACCTAACCTATTCCTCGGTGGAGAGAATTTGCATTTGTCTTATTTTTATTCGATATTTAACAACGTAATGTTTATCGTACATTCGCGGTGAACAGGCTGCAGTTCAGAGGCAGCAGTTTCGAATGTCGTCAGGGTTGTTCGCTGTCGTAAATGAATTTTTTGTCTGTCCGGACAAAGGCCAGTCGGAACTTTTAAGCGAATCATGACCGCGCACTTCCAGGTCCTCGTTTGCCCGGACAAAGGTCAGTCGGAACTTTTAAGCGAATCGTGACCGCGCACTTCCAGGTCCTCGTTTGACGCTGGAGATTTTGCGCAGTTGAAATGTGCAGTAAATTCTCGCGAGTAGCTGAATGTCGCTCTGAGGTCGGTTCCGCACGCTTCCTTTGGATGCTGGCTGTTTGCTTAGATGGTTGTCACGTAACACGGAATGGCCCACTCATGGCTCGTATTTTCCCGATCTCTTGTGATTTTTCATGGTCATCGGGTGGCCAAGATCTGGCACGTCCCAAGTCCCGACGGGTGCACGGCCCTTCTGAACGCAGGTTTTTTCGTCGCTTATACCGAAGACAAGCCACGACACTGACATCGCCGCGCGAGTTCAAGAAATTTTTGACTGTCAACTTCGCCCTGCCCGAACACATTTGGCCTGAGCCTCGAAATTCGTCTACAGATACGCCACTCATGCTCCACCTAAGACCGAGTTCTTCATTCCACCCCGAATGAAACCTGATCCGTTGACAACCTTCCTCGACATTGTGAGTTGTTCTTTTAATCCGCAGATATCAAAAGTCGCGAATGAATTAACGACGCTGTAAGAGCCGATGTTTTGAGGTTGAGATCATTTGAGCCTGACCTGTACCCGAACGAGGCTCGGGTCCATGCAGGCCTCCGAGTGTTACTACTGTGAAACTGTGCGTATGAGCTGGCTCTCTGTCTCCGGAAATCTTCTGCGTTAGTGGAGGGCCAAATTCATTGCGGGTGACTCAGGTATGACAGGTGATAGTTCCGCCAGTAACAGGTTGATTCGACGCCGTGTAGTCTAAGCTACTAAAGAAGCGTCGTTAAATACGAGCAGCTTTATTGCTGTTTCGTTCCGACCTTCATAGAACGTGAAGTTCCTCTCCCTCCCTCCCCCTCTCTCTCTCTTTTCTCGCCATGAAAACAGCATCGAATAAGTAACGGAATCCTTTGAATGCTGGAAAGTAATTGCTTCATTGTGAATGTATTGGAACTTGTTCTCGAGTTATCGCCGCAGTTTTGTCAAATTTGGTGCAGAGGCCACGTGCCTGCGACAGCTGCGTGGATTTAGATTGTTTCAAGCGCAGTGTTCATTGAAATCTCCAAGACACTTTCCACATTTGCAGTTCACGAAGACGTCTGTCAGAGGAATTAACTGACAGAACGTTTCAGCTTTTCGGCATTTCACTTGAATTCGGTTCGTGTAAGCAAATGACATCAGAGTCTGAAGCGACGAACACGAAGTGATAACATGGCTTCGCGTCATCTGTACTCAAAGGAGCCAGAAATCTTGTTCTTGTCATGTGATGCTACCCTCTTTCTTGAAACCCTTCAGCGAGTTTTGTTCTTCGTGTCGAGGCGTTCTAGAGGAACCTGGAGTAGCCTCGGAGATTCATCAAAACGAAATTCGCTACTCGACTGTTTCTTCCAATTTCTGCGTTACAGCAATTACACAGGCCTTTGTAGAGATGTCCCTGTCACACTTTACATCACAACACGATATCCATCTTGTGCTGAGATCTGCAGCTGATAAACAGGTTATCAAGATTCCTGTAAACTATCATGTGGCTGGTACTTGTGCATTCGTTCTCATTGCAAACAAATGCTTTCACGAAAAAGCCTATCAGATATTACGCCTCACGGCTTTTCTGTTGTTCAGGTGTTCCGAATCGACTGACGCCCATTCGATATTGCCCTCCCGTCAGCACTTCTGTCTTCCGAGTGGTCTCTTCCCTCGGGTTCTCCAACCCAAACCCTTCCTGCTTCGTATTCTGGAGGTCCCTGGTTCAAACCTCAGCCCAGAGGCCGGCTATCCCAGACTGGGGTTGTTCGTGGTTTTTCTCGGGCCTTCCAGGCAAATCCCGGGTTAGTGCCTCAAATTTGGCCACGACCGCTTCATTCCACGTCTCATCCGACGCCATGTAGAAGCGTCGAAGTAGACAGGAAATACAGAATGTGGCTGGAGGATACGTACGAAATAACATAAATAAGGAAATTGATAAAAGGAGAAGTGGAAACGCAGAGAAGAAATTGAATGCAAGGAACAGCAAAGTAATTCGAACTGAATAAATTGATTCGTGGTGTTGGAGTGCTTTGATGTGTGCCCCTTCTGCACGCAGGTCGTGCGTTGTCCGCAGGTAGATAAGATAAGATAAGATAGGGGAAGATGAGGTGTGACGTGGTGTTGTGTGTTCGTACAGGAGTGTATATCTCAGTGCGCTGGCTGAGTGGGGCGCGGCTCCAGTGGATGCTGGACATGGCAGCTGAGGAGAGGGACTAATTCAGTGCTCTGTTGCGGTCTGAGTCATCCATCAGGTTTCGCGCCTCGTCTGTGTTGTCTCGAAAGCGGGCCTTTCTCAGTGTCCAGATTTAGCTGAAGTGAACGTGTATTTTATCCTGAAGGCTAGTGTTCGAAACACGGTTAGTGCTCTTCTTATGCAATAGCGGCGTAATTGGAATCGGTCGTAAGTCGGACTGGTGCCCGGATATTTGGCCGAGTTCCCCCCCCCCCCCCCCAAGGGTTTGACAAGGACTAATCGGTTGGTAGATTGTGAGTTGCGGTTTGGTACTGCAAATGGGGCGATACCGCGGTGTCCGCAGAAAAGGCGTGAGTCTAGTCAGGCGTACAGAGTGATGGCATCGTACTGCCATCTGCGTTGCCCGGTCATGGTGTTCCCCGATGCTCGTTGTCAGCAAGACGACGACGACCTGGACTTGTCTCCGGATGGCGAGGAGCGGATGACGATGGGAGATGATGATGAAGAAGACCCTTACGAATATGACGACGAACTACCAAGGATGCCCGATTCTGCGGAACCCAATTTCCTTGACGATGATCTCATTCTGGAAGGTAAGCACTTCGACCGCTTATGGCGCGGCAGAAGAAGAACTTCGCAGTTCAATGTTTTGTTCACTTGTAGTATTCATTGGCTTCCGGGACATTGAATTTAAGCATTTAAAGTGCGTTTCAGAGACTGCGGGCTCTAATGCACGGGTTCGAATCTCACTTCCGTTTTCGATGTGTTTTTTTTTTTTGGGGGGGGGGGGGATGGCTGTTGTCTGAATCGCGAAGCGCCATGAGACCTCGCCCTGGTCATTCTGCCTTAACTTCTTTTCGGACATGTAAAAAACGCCGCCACCAAACCAACTGCAAGTATAAAGTTACGTGCACCCAAGACACGTACGTGCCTTCATCAGTTCCATCTGCTTTTCCCCCAAGACGTGCAGAAATTTCCTGTCCGTCGGCCGTAATCGGAGTTGGGTGGGCCAAGAGGGGTGTTCGGTTTGCCTGTTCGCAGGACGTACACACATGTGTGTCGTTCGCTTCGAACTGTTCAGTTCTGTATTGCAGCAGAATAGCAAGATTGCTCTCCGCTCCTGTTGAGGTAGCTTGCAGCATCATCGGTGAGCGTCAGAATGAGTAGTTCTGGAAACATTCTCGGAACATGTCTGAAGGATGGCATCTCGTTTGTTCATCAGTTTGACAAACTGGGCGGTGTAATGTATTTCACCATAACTTTAAAGGAGGTACTGAAGAAAGCAACGAAACCCGACTGAACAGCTGCTTAATAGGACACCCGAGATACGAAACAGCGCACAGTAGAATCGTTCGGCGACACCGCCAGATTGCGCGTGTTCGAACCTCTACGTAGAAGAATTTCAGTGAAATTTTCAGAAAATCGATACAACATTCGTAACAAATATTTTTATTTTTATTTATGTATGTGATTCCCCGGGCAAGTCGGAGGATTCCCCGCATAGTTACTTCTACTCGCAGAAAAGTGTGCAGGTCTTCCTATAAAATGTTCCCTTGGTCATATTTTAACCAAAACTGGGAAATGGGAATTATTCGCACATTCCGGTGGCTGAGGCTCCCCGATGTTGGTCATTTCATGCCGTTCGATCAGCGACTGCCGCGTTTTTTTCTACGTGCGGACAGACAGACGGCGGAAACTTTTCAGTGCGCTTCGCCATCAGACACCACTATTAGATGCAGCACTCTTGTTATGTGATTTAAACATGTTTGTTTGTTTGTTAACAGTAATATTTGAACGAAAGTTATGCTGCCCGATCCAACTATAATTTAAGCCGGTCCTAGTTGTGACTTTTCAATAATAAGCTCATCGGAAAATGCAGAATCAAATAAGCACGTAATTTGTTCCTCCAAGGACTTGAGCATCGAAAGTTCAAAACCGGGTCGCAGAGATTCCATTCAACTATTGACACGTGTGTGTGTGGGGCACAGCTCTCCTTTGTCGCTTCTCCGTGTCTGTTTGTAGTGCCCCGAGTTCAAGGGAAACGTTTTTGTCTGCATGGGGTGTGCCATTTAAAACGCAACTCCGTACAAAAATGGAATGAGAATCATGTACACCCCCGTGTAGTAGTAGAAGACTGTCCCCAACCTCCACGTGTCTCTCGTCGCCCTGATCGTGGAGGCAGCAAGGACCTCTGAAACATCGGTAAAACTTCTACCAGACTACGTGGCGCAACAACCCAGAAGACAGCCATCTTCAGACTCACCGCCGTGAAAACCACAAATCCTAATTTTTATGTTAATTTTGAAATAGAATCCTTTCGCTGTTTGTGCGTTCTTTTCACTGGACGTTGCAGTGTAGCGTTTCGTATTCAAGAGTCCTTGGCTCATATACCTGCCGTCTTAAGTGGCGTATTTCTTATATTACTGTCTTGAAAGAACATGAACCGATCATAAAATCCCGTTCCATACCCAAACAGATAATTGCAAAACCTGTCCTGCGCTGGGCATTTGTAAGGCGTGCAAGCAATACAAGTTTGTTGACAATCTTCGATGTCACGCCGAACCGTCTTCAGGCTCGAGGTTTATGTGATCTGAAGATATGTTTAACATATATCAAATTGGTTGCAGACATATTAATATGTTGTTAAAATTAAGAGTAGTGTGAGTTAACTTATTGGATGAACGATGGATTTGAGTGGTTGTAAATTTTAGAAACGTTAAATACTAGAAGAATTGTCCTCTGATGGTGGTGTTAGGTTTCAAGACTTTGGCCTTACTAAAAGTGTGGTTTTCTGTTGCTGGTTTGGTTCATAGAGATAGGTAAAAAAAATCTTGTTAAGTTGGCAAAGAGATGTCGCGTTTCGAAGCTGACGTCGGACGTGACGAAAGCAAACATTCTGTCGATACTGATTGTCGAGAGACGCAGTCGTCTGTCGATCGATCGATCGGTCGATATGGCGTCCTGCGTGCGTTTAGCTGGTCTGTCCCTTCATTGTGTGAGAAAATTTAGAACTTCCTAATGCAGTGGCCACGTATACCTGTAATTACATTCGCTTTTAATTTTGATTTGTTAGATCTGACGAAAGAATGTGACTCGTCCTCGTAACGTTTTACTCCGGTTGGGCTCTGGTTGCTGTCAGCAGCCGTAACTCATCGATATAAATCCTGCAAATGTGAGGTTACGTCATGGCACACGTGACATTGTCATGTCCGTCTGTCCCGTCGTAATAAAACCCGAACAATTTATCGACTTTGTGGCTTTGCCCACTGATGAGACTGGGAAACGCTGACAGTCGTCAATCCCTTACAATTGCTTTCAGCTCTTATTATTATTTCTTCAGTCTGTAAGAAGAAAGAAAGAAAGAAAGAAAGAAGAAAGAAGTGTATGCAGGGAAAGCACGAAGGCATTCAGATTATACGGGCTTCGAACAAGATATCGTCTGAATTCCGGTCTGACAACCATCCTGGTGTTTTACGTGAGATTTATCGGTCGAGTCTTACAAAAATTGGTTCACGCTGAACGCGACGTGCATGTGAAGGTGGAACTGCGACGGGTTCAACGTCGAACCCGGACCCCCTGACCTTTCACGGCGGTCAGCACAACAATTTCGAGTCCCGACGTGCGCCGCTGCTCAAACGTGTTCTAACTTTACCTCACATACGCAACTTCGTTTAACGCTGATGCTGACTTGAAGGTGTCGATACGCTTCGATCTAAGTACCAAAGTTAAATTTGGCGAGAAAGTTTTAGTTGAATCGAAATCCGCCCAGGGGTTTCGGAAATGAAATTTGCGGATAAACAGATGCGACTCCCCTCGTGTGCGTTTGCTCCTGAACAAGCGATAGTTCCGATCTCTCGTTTCGTTGCGCAAAGTCAGAGATGTTCAGCTGCGCCAGAGATCAATACTGGTAGCTGCAGGGCCGTTCACCCTTCGTAAATCCACAGGCCAACGAGTGAGGGATGCAGCAGGATCGGCGTCGCGATGCTGGGAGGCATCTTCTCGTCTCGATTCGCCAGGTCTTCAGGTGAGTTTGCGTTCGGATTTAAGGTTTTCGCAGCCGCGTGGTCCCCAGCAGCTTTCAGTTTGTTTTGCCAAAATACGTAACTCTCTGTGAGTTCGTAAACACAGCTTTCCCAGGACCGTCAGGGTATGGGAATGACGCAAGTTCCGATGGCCCCTTTTTTTTCTGAATATTGACTTCCTTGTCGCGATGTGGAAACTACGCAAATCAGAAACCAGCACCCATTTCTCCCCGTGTTTACAGTTCGCAATATAAACAGTGTAAATTGGCGCCATGTTAGTTCATTTGCGTGGTGTGAACACAGAAATATTATCATCCTTGAACGATAATGTGTTTGTTTGTGGTGACTGCATGGCCCACGTTCTTCAGTATTGGAAGGTAAGATCAGCGGTTTTCCATGTCACTTAATTTTATGTCGTGCAGCCATTGGTCGAGACAAATGTCGTGCCGTGATTGGTTGAAAGCTGTCGCGTATTTGCGGTCTGCCTTGTTCTTTTGTTTATTTTCGTCTGTGCTTCAGAAACGTTTGACTCCTTGATTTATGTCAGCCTTTAATTTCCCAAATGAATAAAAAAGTGTTTTCTTGCCTTCTCAACGTCTGGTAAATGCGTTAATCTGATTCATTTCGTTGTGGCTTATCCTTATTTATTTATATAATTTTATGAAGGGGACAGGAGAATCGTTGTTTAAGGTACTTTTATTGGCCCACAGATGGGGTAAGTCATTGACAGGTTGACCAACCATGAAAAATCAGAAAGGAAAACAATTGTCCATGCAATATTGAACCTTGCCATTACGTTCCACCTGTGTAGGATTTGATGGAAGCGTCTTGTCTTTGGTGATTCGTTTTCGTCTCCGGTTTATCAACTTTTGTGTTTACAAAGAGGAGTGTTTGAAGAAAAATAAAGTTTGATTTGGATGTCACGTGAAGTTGCGGATGACAGAGCGTATCGATAAATCAATAAGACATTGCAGAAAATTAATTTGCGTATCGAAAACACTTTTTACGTTTGTGGTATAAAATTGTTTCTGTTTCCTCGAGTCTCAGCTGCTTCTGTTGCAGAAAATATGACACATGTTTGAATAGGGTAAAGTATTGAAACAAATTGAATTACTTTTTCTTGTATTTATCGTATTGAGGAAACAGATGGTTCATCGTCCTCGCGTCTGTTTCCTGAACAAAACGACGCCTGTTTTGGGGCTGGACCGTGGTTGGATTCTGGTGGAGTTTTGTTTGTATTTTACTTTGAGTGTTCGTGACTCGTGTGGTTCTGTTGTTGTGGGTTAAGGCAAATGCGTGCGGGAGAGATAGTTTGCCAGATGAAGACGTTCTCTTTGCAGTCCGTGAGAAGTTTGAGCTCATTATCACAGAGCTCTATTGCATCCAGTTGTCACGTATTAAATACCACATTACGAAACATGAGATTAAATTGAATGCTACCAGTAAAACACTTCGATATCGATGTCTCATGCGTAATCGATTAACTTCTGGGTTGTCCGCCGTGCTTCAGGTAAATTGCTGAAGTATCCTCAATAAGTCTTTGGATTGTTTTTTTTTTTTTGGAATTTAGTTGACACATACAATCCGGATGTTGTAATAGGCTCGGAGTCATAGCTTAGAGAAGAAATTAGTAATGCCGAAGTATTTAGGGACGATTACACAACCTTCAGGAGAGATAGGAATACATGAGGGGGCGGAGTGTTCATTTGTGTAAAAAAAATTACATAGCTTGCGTGGAATTATGGGTGGACGAGGATTTTGAGATGTTAGCAGTTGAATCGAAAGGCAGAGACCCCAAATTCACATGGGATATCATAGGCATCTACAGTGCATGCGAGTTATAGAAAGATTGGCGGCCCGAACCAGTTATTTAGGAAATTCTACGAAGCGTAGCATCATCGGAGGTGATTTGAACTTGCCCTATGCAAATTGGAATGGAAACGTGGAATGTACTAGTGGAAATCAGGCATTTATAAATAGACTGGTATAGGAAAATGGGTACACGCAGGTAGTAGAGAGGCCATCCCGAGGACGTTTACCTTTTCCGGCCTGAAAGTTCATTCACCTCTTGCAGCATTGTACAGGGGGTCAGTGACCACAGTGGGGTATTATTAGAAGTGGCCAACTCCCTTAATTTCTATTATTCTTCGATATTCAGCTGCGAGCGTAGCATCAGGCGAACCCTTCGCCATTAGTACTAAAATCATTAGGAAAATGCTAGCAGGGACTGGGAAAAAGCCATAGTGGTTCCAATTTACAAAGGAGGTGGCCGATCATTGGTCACAAATTACAGACCGGTCAGTTTAACATCGGTGGTCTGCAAACAAATGCAACACGTTATGGCGTCGTACCTGAGGAAAAACTGGGAGGAAAAGAATTGGTTATTCGAGGGTCAACATGGGTTCAGGCCGGGATATTCATGTGACAGTCAAGTAATCACGGTTTGTCAGGACATCGCAGACTCACTGGATAACGGAGGAAGGTTAGACGCGATTATAATCGATTTTTCGAAGGCCCTCGATTTAGTTCCTCACGATCGGCTGCTTATGAAAATCGCGGCATCGGGCGTGGACTCGAGGGTAGTCGCATGGGTACACTGGCCTTGTCGGACGGCGAGGTCCGTTCGCGTGTTCCTTTTGGGCGGTGAAGGGAGGTGAATCGGGGTGAGGGCGGGAAGGCTGATGTGGAAATCTCTGTTCGTTATAACATTCTTCTGGAAAGTATGGTGCTGTGTTTGGTGAAAATTAACTTCTTCTGAAATGTGTCAGGTTTCATAGAAGTGATTTCGGAGGTGAGCCATCCAGACCATCAGTCGCTACTTTTTCATTTTGTTTGAATTCCCTCACTCTTCGTACACAGAAATACAATATGGCCGACTGACCATGTAATTGTTTCGCAGCGACGATAAGTCGACATCAGGAACCGGCGTTGATAAATGTGTAGCTGGGAGCCATCTATGAACAGCTGAATGAATTGCTAGAAGGGACCAGAAGGCGGTTTGAGATGTTTTTGTCGTATTTTGGTTTTCGCTGTGGGACGCAACATGTCAGGTCAAAGTCTGACTACTCATCCTGTCAGTGCCTTGGGTCGCCGAAGTGTGTCCGCGTCCAAAATTTGCCTTTTTCTCAGTTGCTTCGCTGTCACACGTCCGCGCTCGACGTCTCGGTGTTGCAGAGTGAATGTTCCTGCCAAGATGCGACCTGAACTCGTAAGAAGAATTTAGGTGGGTGCAGCAGCCGCGTTTGTAACGGAACGTGCAAACATTTGTGTGTTATGGCGTGACTTTGCTGTGTTCACAGTTATACGAGATCAAATGACGACTTTCAGAAGACATGTCTGTCTTCATCATCGTGTTACACACAGTATCTGATGTGATTCGCCGTTCGCCAAGTAGTTTTCAAATTCTACCCCTTTTTAGTAACAGGATGGTTCCCCTGGTGATGCCTATTAAGGTCCGTTACATTGTTCTAAACACATGTTGTGAGCCACTTGAATCCAATCACACTCGCGCTTTATATTTATATATGATGTTTAATGTTCTGCCTTCCCTACAGGTATTGTGGCTGAAGTGTTTAAAATATATCGTCTGTCTCGTCTCACAATGTTCGGTGCAGCTGAACGGTGGTTTGTAACGTCACGTGATCTCCCCACACACACACAGCCTTGTTGTTTCCCCTGCGATAAAGCCACGCGCACTCCTAACCAGTGCCAAGTTTAAGAATGCGTGGAGATGTACCGCTGTTCCCCGTACCTCTGCATGAAAAATGTTGAATCGTTCACACATTTTCGAAGGATTTCTGGTTTTTCTTTGATTTTGTGATTTGCTTCGGTTTCTCTTGGTTTTGTATTCCGCCTTGGGAATTTCTGCGACAGTTTCCTTCGCCGTGTCGAATCCAATTCGTAGTTCACTGTCATCATTCCTTTGCCTGTGCTGTTGACGTTGTTGAAGACAAATACCATTAGATTGGATTGTCAGTTAAGTGGCATAGCTCTGTCGGTAAATTCACTGGCTAACTGTGGGGCTGAACCAGAGGACGATGCATACCGGTATCTAGCGCCAAGATCACGAAGTTTTGACTCGTCACACCGCCATTGTCCGTTGGTCACTTATTGCTAATAGGAGTAATACTGATGTAGCATATTAAAAAATCTCCATCATAAATTATACTACGACAATTACCGTAGATGACAAAGGAGAAAATTTATTTTTTAATAGTTTTATTTCAGTCGTTTGTAGGTGTTAAGTCATGAAAGCTGTTGAGCCAAGTTCAAACTAGCTTCCTGTTCACAGGCAATGTCAGAGGTCACTGTACTTTGTACGTACTATTAGTATGGAATCTGATGAACACAGCTCTGTAACTATTAGGTGCGAAAAACTGGTTTTCTTCTCGTCAGAGAACACACGCTTTCAGGTTGGCAGGAAGTTGTCCTAAGAAAGAAAGATACCAGCAGCTGTATAAACTGCAGGATCATTATGAGATGGAAAACTAGTCTGAATGGTGAGTGCCAAAGCATTAGGAAGCCTGACAATACTGGTCTGCATATGGATATCCAGTAGCTCAGTTGAGGTTAGATTTTCTTGAATATCAATAATATGGTTATTATTTCAAAACTTGTTGTTGTGTCTGACTAGTTAATGGCCAGAACATTTTGTAATACAAAATTGTTCATTTCTTCATTAAAGTTTAATGCTACAGGTGGAAGATTCCACTGCTTTGCCTGTGAGAAATTAACCTTAAAACTCAGTCACAATGCAGCAGTACAGGATCGTAAACTTAACGTACTCCTTCCATTCAACATTGATGCAGACTCCGGCCTCAGACTTGGATGAATTCTTTGAGAAAGAAACTGATCTTAACTGGCCCAGGATAGAGACCAACGGTGGGCTCTTCTGAACATGGTGTTGATCATCAGGTCACAAACTGACTGTCAATTTTCACAAGTAGACCTGTACTCCATGGAGTTACTTAATTTGTATGTTCCTTTCAGCGCACACGATTTGAATATACTGGCTCTGTTCTCTTTTGAAAATCTGATATTTGTCATGTAGGATAATAATGTTTCAAGGACTACAGAGGAATAGCTTCTTCAGGTAAGTGTGTAAAGAAGCCTCTGTATAGTGATGACATAATGTTGGCTTTCATGAGTTTGTGAATTCTCAGATTCTCTCATCTTGTTTGTGACTCACATAATTATAAAGTTACATTCACATGGAATGAGGTAATCAAGAAGTCTTCTTTTGTATGGTAACTACGAGGCACCCGGAATGTAAGATGTGGTAGGATTCTGCAGTTCTTCATTGCAGTAGATGAAAGTAGAGGGGAGAAAGAAACATCTGATGGATAGGTAGTAATCATTTTGGAAACTCTAATTACAAGCTCATTTTATCGCTATTACGCCACTACGGCTGTGTAAAGTTTCGTAGTTGAATGTCTGCTCAGGTCCGTCTCGCATGCTCTTGATATTAACTGATCCGCCAACCGTCTCACAGGACTGAGTTTCCATTCCAGCAAAACTCTGTAGTCTCCAAAAACTGTGGGCACGGACAGAATAAAGATGAAGTGCAGACGTCACCAGAGATTAAGTTTCTGCGCGGTATTTAGTAACAAACAAGGAGAAATTAAATCTGAAATCTGAATGTGTAGTTCAGAAGATGAATTAATATCAGTGAACCATTGCTAAAAACAAGATATTAGATTATTTTTTTAAAATAATAGTCCTTTGATGCTGTGTAGTTTCATAGACTCTGGAGACAACGGTGGTTTATTTCTCCAAATTGTTTGTATCGCCTTCAAGATTTTGTGGTACCAACCCGGAAGACCACAGTTGAATTCTATTATGACCTTTTTCCAGGAATCTAAATGTGACATTAGATAATGCAATATGTGCAGGGTTGGAAGTCTCTGCGATAGGAAAGTACGTTGTTTCTTTAACTTCTGCCTCGAGCTGTGTAATACTTATCTTGCATAGAATTGTTTTATTGTTTCAGTTCTATGCAGCAACCGAGTGAGCCAAATGACCAAGACTTACAATGACATCGAAGCAGTCACAAGACTACTGGAAGAGGTCAGTAGAACTCGAACTCTCAGACTGTTCCTTGCATGCGAATGGTTCCTGTAGGCCATTCATTATAATAATGTAAATAGATGTAAATATGGAACGTAGACAAAGGGTAACGACAGAGTTCTGAATAAAATATTTTCACCTGGAGAAGGTCTTGAACTTTGTACTCTTTGCCTAAAATTGTTGGGGCCAATCGACCAATACGATGATCTGCGTGGGATAAATAGCACGCATGGGAAAATAATGACTGCATGCAATGTTTTTTTAAGACCTGTTGCAAGATATTATTTTGAGATGTATTTGGATAAATAGGGTTTAGAAGGCTGGATTGGATTGTACCGGCTAAGCATAATGTTCAGTGGCAGGCTTTTTGAATGTGATTATGAACCTTCAGATTCCATAATTCCAGGCAATTTCTTTACCAGCTGAGTAAGTATAAAAATTAAAAGGAAATTTCCTTTTTGAATGCAGAGATTTTACCCTTTGAAGTACGTGCATGTGCGAGACATCTCTTTATTTGACTGTGAATTAGGATAACTTTTGCTATGCGTAGTGAACAGAGTGTGCAAAACTGACTTTTTTCTGTGGGTATAAAGAGCTCAGTCTCTGCGATGTTCTGAATGTTTACTTTAAAACTGCTATGTTTTGATAAATTATTTGCATTGCCACTTATGCAAATTTCTTGAAGGTCGCCATCATAAGGTGACAGATTGTTAAACATGTGAGGTCAGTCCATGTGTGCTTATTGGCTGTTGGGTACTTAACAGTATTTACATTTGTCTGAATGCAAGACGCGTGGTACCACAGAAATATTATTTGGCCTTGTATCCATCACCATGGCACATGTTAGACAAAATTAAAGATTATTAGACAGACGCACTCGTAACCTTGCGTGTGCGCGCGCACATACACCTAATTTTTAAGTTAGGAATTGCTTGCTACCGTTCAGTTCAGAATCTTAAAATTTCCCATTCTCAAAACCTAATGATTAAAATACTCAAAACTGTTTTTGCCCGTTCTTTGTGTCGGTGTGAAATTTCATCTGTCTGAGGCAAGAACTTCAAATGAGCATCTTAAGGGCATTTAACTGAGAAGGAGAGAGTTTGTGTTACGTTATGTTACATACAACATTTTAGTAAAGATATCTAAAATGAAGAGGAGACTATTTCAGTGATGTGGGCACAGGGCAAATGATAATATTAAAAGGGTATAAGGGTATGTTGTATTCAGAATGTTCAGCACACATACCATTTGTGGGGTTTTATGAACATGGTAATGAACCCTGCGTTAGGTAGAAATGATTAATTTATTGACAAGCTTAGCAACTAAACTCTGTAAGAAGGATGCTGCACGAGTGAGTTATGTATAAGCTTCTTAGTGGTAAATATCATTTCACAACACCCCGAAAGAAGAAAAACTGTGCCATATTTTTTGAAGAAGCTTTTCCATTATAATTAAAGGCACAGTGTTGTTGTTCGCCGAAAGTTTTAACTGTTTGGTGTCCACTTCGGTAAAGTTTATGCTTGTTCATTCATTGTGGTGGTAAATGATGTAAATCTCTATATAGGAAAATTAGGTTCAGAACTGTAACTGTTAAATATAACCAAGTAAGTCTTTAATTTGTTATCGAGCAATATTTTTTTGCTTGGAAACATAAATAATTTCCATTTTGTTATCTCAAGATGAAGAGTACTTTTAAATCAGTTGATCAACCTACATCTTTGAAGGATGAAGACCTAATTTTGTGGTGTTGTTTATAGCATGTTTCGAGACTAAACTTGTAGATAGGTTCAAAAATTATGACTTATCAGATAATCACGTATTGTTATCAGAAGATGGATAGCAGGAGCTGAAACAAGAAACTCTATGAAGCTGATCCCTTTGGGTCTTGCCAGGTGATAAATTGCCTGCAATTTATGAAACTGTAAGGTTCATTGCCATGTTCACAGCAGCTGATGGCTATATCCTGTCATGAGCCAAATAAATCCATTCCACATCCTCACATGCATGAATAGTCTCTTAAGGATTTTCAAGTACAGTTTTGTGTGCATTTCTCATCTTGCCCATGGATCTCCTCCTTTAGCCTCCTGATGTTTCACCTCACTCTAAATATTCCCCTCAGATCTGCTGAAACAGTCTCAGCCTGTGCCCTTCTGTTATGGCAGGAGTTCTGAATCAGGCAGCTGAGTTTGGCCCCGCCAATGTTCTTTTTGTACCCCATGTGTGGTTTTTGTAATGTCGTGCTGCCGTATATAATGCAGAATACCTGTATGTTATTAGAAAAGACGTATGAAAGTTGTCGCTATGTGTCGGCACCTTTTGCTGTAAGCAGTTACTGTTCAGTGTTGAATATCAGATCAGGAAGTAGGACATACTTTCTGATAAGAACTTGGAGAAATGCGCGGAAATTGCAGCGACAGAAACGAGAAGTCCGGTGTTGAAAGACCTCTCAAACAAATCCAGTATCAAATATCTCACTTATAACTGAATTTTTAAAGAAAATATTGCGTAACTTTGTGAACCTGTTTGTTATAGTAAGTAAGTTCTTAAATTGGCATGGTAACTTTCAGTGTGGATACCCAGATAGTTGATTTTATTGAAATCTGTTGAGTTGTTTTTGAGGTGGAACATGCTTGTTAACAGGCACAACCTTCGTTCTTTGGTGCAAGAATGATCAAAGGCACAGAAGTGACCTTGAGTCACAGTGCAACAGTGACATATCTGAGTGAATAACGCATTTAGAATGGCCGTACGCTCCGAGGAATTCACCCAGTTAATCTTGTTACCTGCTTTTGATGTGGTAAAAATGCATGCCACTCACTGAGGTTTATAGCCTCCTATTGTTTACAGAGCCTCTTCTGGTTAGTCACACTGCCTGGTGATAAATACCTTTTAGATTTAAGGGTCTCAAGGTTGTGAAGATGTCCATCATGGTACTCTGGGTTCTGATGTGATGTTTTGTAAGTGGTTACCAGCATTTCAGATAACGTTTTTCCTTTTTCTTCACGCAGAATATGGAGATGATGCGTTCTTGTGAGTAGCTTTATGTAGCAGGTCCCTCATATTGAGTACCCTCTCCTGCACAAAGATGGCATCCAAAGCGAATACTTTTGTCCAGACAGTGGAAAGCTTCCTAAGTAAATTGTCCTGTACTGATTCCTGATCCCTCGAGTGATGGTTTTTATATTGCAGAAAGAGAAAGACCTAGAATTGACAGCTCATATTGGAAAGGAGTTGCTAGCTCATAACCAGAAGTTGGAAAGCAGCGTCGCAGCACTCGAAGCAGAACTGAAACATGTCAATGAGAAGCTGACGCAGCTTAACCATGAACTGGCAAAGAAGACGGAGCTCATTCAGATCCTCACAAATGATGTGGATGAATCTGGCTCAGAGTCAGGTAGCTGTATATACATGTCGTAACTGTTTGGTTTAGAAGATAATGTGAATAGTTTTTTACATGCTTTAGAACTTCTTTTGTTCCATCTTATCTTAATTCTGTAAGATAATGATAATTGTGACTGCTCACTCAAAAGTTAATGTCAGAAATATGTCATCTGCCGTAGGAACCTGTGAAGTTTCACTTTTTTCGGGTAACAAGGCCATAGACAAGTGAGCAGTTAGGAACCTGCGAAGTTTCACTCTTTTCAGGTAACAAGGCCATAGACAAGTGAGCAGTCTTTTGTTACAGTTCATTGTTTACATTCTGAGAATGTTGTTGGTATTTGGATGTGAATATTGAAGGTTAGCATTTGGCAACACTGTTAAGAATGTCTTCACTGATATCAAAGGATGTCATTCCTTTCATAATGTAATATAAAATATGTCTCTAGATATTTTTGTTATTAGGAAGGGAATGCTTGTAAGTTGTGAAACAAATGGTATTATTGCCTAAATGTGCAGAAGTCAATTCACCGTTTGTAAAAGAATTATCTAAACTTTATAACCTTCAGTCTAAATAACTTAATTCTAATTGTGAGTTGTATTCAAAAATTAGAGTAAAGAAATACTCGCAGGAATTACATTTATCAAATATGATTCCTGTTTTGATATCAACTTACACTTGATTTCAACAAGTCATTGTCATGTAACCTATTTCTGTAATCTGATGGCTCATACTCTGTGTGGATATGTGGTCAGTATTTATTATCAAATACAGATGTGTTCATAAAAACTCTAATAATTTATTCAAAACGGGCAGTTTGTCTTCATGTCTCTTTCAAAATCTTCAGAATCTTTCTGGTGTCTGCCTAGTCTTTATCACATTTTAATTTCATGAAATTTTCCCATGTTGATATAAATGCCTATTCTGTGTCACAAATCTTATGTACCGTCATTCTCCATCTATTATCGTTGGTGTTCACTACTTCAGCTTTCATCTGGTGGCTTATCACAGTCATAAAGTGTGCAGTAGGTACTTATTTGTTACCCTGACCACAAACACTGTTATCACCATTCCTATTCTTGTCGGTGATTATCAACATGAAATGACTGTAGCGGTTGTTCCTATGTTTGTGATTCTGATGTATCATAATCCTGTTATTCTGTATCTAAGCTTAATATCTCCTCCCTCCCCCCCCCAGGGGCGGTCCATGTCCAACATATTGTTAGACTAATCGAAAATAAAAATATCCCTAATTTTAAAGTGGCTATAAAAGTTGCTGTAAAGATAATTGGCAGAAAGACAGTAATTTCAGTTATAGGCCATATAGTTTTATTGTTCTTGTATTCAGTCACTCTAATCATGTTATGTTTGCATTCCCTTCTTAACATAATTAACATCAGAAATTGAAGACCAAGTGTTGTGTTAGTACGGATCTCCAGTTTGTATTGATTCATGAAAAATAAGGAACTTCAATTGGGATTGTTAAAAGAATAGAAAGTTGTAATATTTATGTATAAAAATGCATAAATTCTCCTGAATACTCATATTTTAATTGTATTCTCTTCATGTCATGAAAGAAGATTAGTGTTATCTTCGTTGAGATAAGAAGTAAAATTAGTAAATCTTCCATCACAATGAACACTTTAAGTGGTGACATTACTTTGAGAATAAATTGTAATTAAACTGCTAAATTTACTATTAATGAATTTATTAATTATTAAATTGTTCTCATAAGAATATTGGATGGCTGAATTAAAAGTAAATCAAGTTTGAGATGAAAAAATTAGTTTGTCCTATGTAGAGTTTGTATGATATTTTAATTCTTTTGCTTAGCTGGATGGCTCTGAGTGGCTGTAGGCTGGACAGCGAGTGTTCGGTTCACAGAGTGGCTGAAACATGCTGCTTTTCCCCGGCAGGTGTTCAGGCTCAGATATGCCTCTGCCTAAATTTCACACCTGCGGTTAAAGTTACGATTGACACTGACATTTATGTCATCAGGCACTCCTTCAAGTCTCCGCTGCATCAACTCGGAATTCATGCAGCGTCGAATTACATCCTTGGAAGATGAAAACAGACAGCTGCGCTGTGAAGCAAGCCAACTTACACTTGATACGGAAGACTGTGAGATGGCCGAACAGAGACTGGTGCAAGACATAGCATCACAGCTTGGTAAGCCTGTATTGCTTTAAGTAAACCTTCTCTGTCTCTTGGGTCCTGTGTTTTTGAAAGGAGCCAGTCATGGTCCAGCATTTGGCTTCATTGTCTGAAGAAAATCAGGAGTAGCCTCAGAATGTGTGGCTTCCAGGCCGAGAGTGAAACATGGAACCTCCCAAAAAGAACAGGAGTTGTAAATCCTCGGTCGTAACACATGTATATTTTCATATAATTATGCCCAGAAGTGTGTTCTCCTTGCATGCAGATTCTGCTGCACTTGTCTGTTCTGTGGAAGTCTTTAAATGAAATATTAACCTTTGCTGACAATCTGTGGATGTGGCGCCATTTTGAGTAACATGAGGGCATGCATTGCTTTCACATCTGCCACATGTCTTGTTAGATCTAATGACTGCTTTCATATAAATACTTCCGTCTGTGTGTTACTTTAACTAATATAAAGATTTCCGTCTTCTGGGTTGTTGCGCTGTGTAGTCTGGTTGATATTAACCAACGTTTCAGAGGTCATACTGCCTCCGTCATCAGGGCGATGAATAACTAATATAGATTCCCACTGTCTCCATATCAGACACAATTTCAACGTTTCACACCATCAGTATGTTATGTAATGCACATCAGTGATATACATAGGCGTACAGAATTTCATGAAAGTCCTTTGATAGGGTACGTAGATTGGGGCATTCATGCACATAAACTTGACAGAGCTATAATGCTATCCTTTAGTGAACAGCTGTCCCATGATGTGAAGTTGATGACTTGAATTATATATTGTCTTTTAGGTATTAAATATTTTTATTTTCTTTAATATAGTGTGTTAATTTAAATACTTCTGCATTGAAGGGGGATGAGTACTAGTTGAAAATAAAGGGTAGTCATTTTCCTCTTCTCAGTATTGAAGAACTTATGGACATCTGAAGTTCTCAAGGCAAGGATTTCTAAATGTCTGTAGCTAACAATGAGCATGCAGTTTGGTATGCATCTGGCAACACTGCTGACCAGGCAACTCGGTAAACATTCACTTAACACGCGGCTAGAACGGGACTAGCGAGGGGCGACGTGGTATGGCGCTGCTGTATACCAACAACCAATATGTGGATATCTGTTTTGTTTATGGATTCTCTGGTGGGAATGCAACGAAATCCGTTCAGGAATGTGAGGGACAATTCCGAAATCAACGAACTGACTGACGTGTGTTTTCAAAACTGTGTTTATGAGGGAGAGGTGAATTTCTGAACCAGTGACCTAGCATTTGGTACAGCAAATTGTTGACAAAGAAGAGGTCATTGGTGAGATGGTGGACTAGTCTAATCACTAGTGTTAATAGAAAATCTTGGTGAGCTCATGTGCAATGCATGAGGGTCTGGAGACTCAGTCATTACAGTTATCTGTTCCACCAACAGATACTCATGTGTAATGCATGAGGGTCTGGAGACTCAGTTATTACAGTTATCTGTTCCACCAACAGATTGTTCAAGCTCTTCAACCTGAGGTTTACCCAGCATGTATGATGTTCTTTGACTGGTTCTTTCAAAATGATCAGCACATTTTTTGTTTGCTGATGAGGTGATGTTTATGAGGGATGGAATAATAAACCACAGAAATACCCACTGATGGGGTTTGGAAAATCCAAATGTAACAAATGAGACCCTGTTTCAACATAGATTTTCTCCAAATGTCAGGTGTGGGCTTAGTGACAGTAGACTTACTCGACCATTCATATTTGAACGCCGCATAACAGCAGAGAGGCGCCTAAACTTTCTCAAAGATCACCTGCCAGAACTGCCAAAATATGTGCTGCTTTTGGTCAGACGAGACATGTGGTTTCAGCACGCTATTGCACCAGTGCACTTTGTTAGATTTGTAAGACGGTTTTAAGGTCACTAGATCAGCTGGGGAAGACCACAGTCAACAGAATGATGCCTTTGAATTATTTTTTATGGTAGCACACAAAAAGCCTTTTCAATTCCTCAGTACAGATAAAAGTCATGGTACCATACTTCATTAAGCAAATAGTTATCTTTCAAAGAGAGTTATCGTTTTCCTGAGGGATATTAGTGGCCACTCTGAGCAGTATTTCCACAAATATGTAGAATAAACTAAATGATTGGTACAGGAGATTGACATTGGTCACCAAAATAATTTCGTTTTATTTTCAGCTTGTGATGACCTCCCCCAAACATATGTGAATTATCAACTTTTACGTCATGTGACATCTGTATAATGAGGGAAGTAAGGCAGAAGAAGAAAATGAAAGTTTGTTCTAATTTATTTATTTATGTTGTAGCTGCTGCCAACATGGAGGTTGATTGCTTAGCAGATGAACTGCATCGTCAGAAAGAGGAGAGTCGTCAGCAACATGAAGAACTCGCGATTCTCACCAGCAAATTACTTTATGCAGAATCCCAAATTCAGAAGGTTAGTAATGTGATATCGCAGAGTGGGTATTGCATTTCAGAATTCAGTTGAATACACAGTGAGTCTGTCTCAAGAAATTTTTCGGGTGACCATGAAGAACACGTCTAACATCATTTGTTTTACTTGTCTTTCAGACAAGTTTTAAGTAAAATTTTACACTTTACTTTGTGTTTTGTACTAAGTAACAGATGGCTCCTCTTCATAGCACCACAACCCTCAGACCTCCTTGTTGACCTGTAATACATAAAAGATGAACTGGCAAATCCTACAATATTCCTAAGCACTGACTAAAGTGACCGACAGGATTGAAGGCAGATGGTGCGCAGGAAGAGAGTGAAATGTAAATTCTGACAATAATAATTTTTTGCACACTTCCAATGCTTATATCATATGCTTCAGTAGTACATTACTGCTCTTTGGCAACATTGTGGACTGGCATGCTGACATCTACTTCATGCTTGAAGTAACTACTTTATACACCAACTACCCAAGTGAGTGTACAGCAAGTGACTGAAAGTGATTGGCTAATGAGGGCATGTGACTGTAGATGCTCAGCTGCTATCATTCCTGGTGATCAGTGACGAGAAATAGAGTGGTAATGGCACAGTGGCCTAGATAACTACATTGTACTTTGTTACAGCTAACAGCAGAGAACGAAGGGCTGTCATCGAACCTACACATCACACGAGAAAATCAGGGACATTTAGCTGGAGAATTAGCAGACCTGAAAGATCGATACGCTGAAGTACTGAGCTTGCTTCGAGATACACAAGAACAGCTGCGTAGGCAGCGAAGAAAGGGCATGCCTCAAGTTCGTGGTGGGCTCTTATCTTCATTGGGACCTGTCACCAACCCAGACTCTATAGCCTCAGAGTTAGAAAGTTCTCTGTATTCAGAACTGAGTTTGGACTCTGGAATTGGTGCTGACCACAGAGACAGAGTGTGAGTATCATATTAACTGGCGCAGTTCTGAGTATTTAAGGCACAAGTTGGAAGCTACGGCAGATAGAGCCGTCACCTTCAGATTTTCAGTTTTGCAGAGTGAAAATGCGTTCACTCTTGGCAGAGAGGCGTTTTCTTACAGTATTTGCAGAATTGTAGTTGCCATGACAGTCCCTCATAAATCCATGTCCATTCTTCATATTATATAATGTTATGATTAGGCACTGAAAGATTTCTGACTCACGGTTACTATACTTGAGACCTGCATAGTTCAGTTTGTGTGTTGTACACATTAACATTTGCTTTAATTATCAATTGATAGTAAAGCAGATTAATATCATTTCAGGTCCCCGAGTTTGTAGTGTGTCATTATATTGTCACTCTTTAACAAATGTAAATTCTGTCAACACGTGAATGATTGGTTAGGAGTGCAAATAACATGTAAACAGGACCTGTATCTCTTTAATATGTTTATAAATACACTAAGAGACTGGTAATCTCTTACCAGGTCAAACTACAAAAAGGTGTTTGAAACAGTTCGATGTGCATCTCGAGCATCATCAAGCAGTACTGGTGGCAGCCCTGTCCACCAGATCTATCCTGCTACCCCTTCAGCACATCTACCATCTGGGCCCAGTATGACAATGATGCAAACCACTGCTACTCCTTCGTCAGGTGGACCTCGTATGAGTGCTTTTGTGTCGGTATCCTCAGGAGGACCCAGTATGGGAGTACCACAATCTTTACGGCCAAACAGTAGGATAGGAGGTGGCTCTGTATATAGCAGTTCACTGAGTTTTCCCAGCATGGACTCCCAGCACAGTGACTCTGAATTTTCCGTTGTCACAGACACAAGTGACGATTGCTATCCGTGAGTATGAAATAACTCAGTACATTTTACAGTTATATTCGTGATTATATAATGGTCCCTGTGCACATACATACATACTGGGTTGTGTGTGACTTGTGTTCAAAACTTTTGCGCAAGAAAGGTACAGGGCACTTACGTCAGAAGTATACATAGGATCTTTGCCCCACCCCCACCCCCGGTCCATGTAAGTTGACATGAGCATGTGAGTGCAAATGCTTACCGCATTCGACAGGACCCACATAACCAGCTTGTCAGTAGTCTTAAACACCGCCCACTAGCCCCATTGGCCACCCAGTCCAACAGCAACCTGTCTGGTTAGGTATATGTATATGGGACAGCCTGGGCTCCGCAGACATGTTAGATCTGTGATGATGATGATGATGACAGAGACTACTCTTGAAATTTCATTTTTTTGTGGCCATCTGATGTGACTGATTGACCTATGAAGACTGCATTGAGTCTCTGAAATGCTGGAAACTTATGCCTGATGTGACTGATTGACCTATGAGTCTCTGAAATGCTGGAAACTTATGAACGCACAGACAGTGCCTGATATGTTGGAAACTGATTTCATTCTGACAACCCTGATTACCTGAGAAAATTTTATTGCATTTTTGTAGTTTACTTTTCTCGCACCGTTATGATTTATTTCAACATTAGAATATATCGATTAGTACAGTGATAACTAGTCACCAGAAGACTGAAGTATAGTGAAATCTCACAATGTTGTATGTATCAGATACACTTTGAACACTGAACAGTGTCCACCATAATTGCATTATAATAAATTAACTGTTATCACAAACCTTTTGAGACTCATTACCTCTCCGTAATATTGTACGTGCCGTACGTTTGTTTCCGCAGAGGAGGAGCACGGGCTGGAGTGCCTGGTGTTCCAGGTGCGGCTGATCTTGAGGCAGCCCTACGTCGACTCACTCCTGCAGAAGTTCTGGCTCGACGGGCCACGTTAAGTTCTGGCCTGGCTTATACAGGTTATGATTATCCTGATGGCCCTCACACTCCACCCAGCTACCTCCCGTATGGATGTCGCACACCGGACAGCATCATGTCTACGGGCAGTAGTGGGCTTAGTGGTTTCAGTGGCCATAGCACAGGCAGTTGGAAACTACCAGAAAAATTACAGGTATTTTTCCTGTTAAATGAAGTCGGACATGGATAATTGTTTTTTCCACTGACATTGCACATCCACTGAGCAGGATGAAGATTATTCCTATATAATTACTGTAACTCTTTTTGGATCATTTGCGAACATTTATGATCTATCCCAATACAAACCTCATATGCATATCTTCAGTGTTTTGTTAGCTATTACCTTAAGGTAGATTTTGCACATTCACCATTTTGATGTTTTGTCATGCCATGTACAAGGCGCGTCCCAAAAGTAAGTTTCCCTGGGGCCGTTTACAGAAACAAAACACAATTTCATGGAAATATTTATTGCAACAGATACAGCAAGTGTCCAGCTATTTTTCAACATATTCGCCACCGGAATTGAGACATTTGTCATACCGTGGGACCAACTTTGGAATCCCTGTGTCGTAGAAGTCGGCCGCCTGGGATTGGAACCACTGTGTGACAACCATCTCCGCCTCTCTGTCATTCTCAAAACGCTGACGCTGACCGGA